TTTTTTCCATGAGATTGCTGCAAAGTGGGTTGTCCAGGGGAGAACTCTGGAGGGGGAGGAGAGTCCGAGAACTGGTCAGAGAGAGACAGGACAGGGAGGCACAGAGTGAGAGGGAGGCCGAGAGTGGCATGAGGACCCGGAGAGAGTCGGGGACACAGGCATAGACACAGAGAAAGAAGAAGGCAGAGCTAGAAAACAGAGGGACAAGGTGGCAGAGATCCAGAGACACAAGAAGAGATGAGGTCTGCGAGGCCGTGCAGAGAGCACCTGAGGCAAGTGAGGCCGGACGGGGGGTGGGGGGGGACAAGGAGGAGGGGAAGGACGGGGCATGGGGGAGGGGAGGCAGACAGAGGACTCGGAGGCCTCACCCTTCTCAGAGGCCCCTTCCCCAACCCATCCCAAGAGAGGCAGAAACAGGAGCATCCAGGGCAGAGCCCCCCACTGGGATCCAGGTCTCCCCACACTCTTACCTGGCTGCCCGCCCCCTCCAGCCCAACGCCTCACCTCCGAGCTAGGGGACCGGGGCTTGAGCGAGGAGGGCTATGGGACCTCGAGGTTCCAGCTGACAGGTGGCTGATCTCATGGGTCCAGTATGGCCAGGCCTACGGGCGGGGGATGAGGACTTCTGAAGCCCCTCGTAGCCCCCAGCTGCCTGAACTGCAGGGAGGAGTCACTCACACTCACGTGCTATTGGCAAGGACATGAGATGACAGCCAAGGGCTGCCAGGGGATCACAGCAAATCCGACAGGAAACCCCACCAGAAGCCAGAGGTTGAGGACAGAGGAGAAGCAAATCAACCTGCAGGGGCGGGCGGGGCTGCGTCCTCCCTCTGCCTGCTTCCCCGCACGTCCTCAGGTAAGTGTCGGAGCGAGGCCCTTGGCACTGGCCCTAAGCTGTCATGGGGAGTGACTGGGGCTGCTGTGGCACCTCCGCAGGAAGCTTCCCTGGAGGAGGGGAGGATAACGGTGTTATTCTTCCTAAACAAAGATGGTGACAGGGAGGCCGGGGCTCACGGCTCCTCTGAGATCAGCTGGCCTGATCTTCCTCAGTGTACAGAAAAGAGCAAGCACTTGCCCAAGGCCACCAGCCCAGTCCATCTCTCCGTGCCCGTTGGCTGCCCTTCCACTGCCTCAATGTCTCTCTTCTGACTTGCCGTGTCTTTCCTGTCTTATCTCAGTGGCTCTCCATGGGCCACTCTTAAATCTGTCCCCGCTTCCTCATCCTCTGCCCCATGCCACCCTCAGTTCATGACACCTCAGTGTGGGGGAGTGTGTCAGCCACTAGCCTTACGTGGCAGAAGGCTTCGGGGAAGCCACAGCACAGTGACGCATGGGCTGATGTGCAATGAGAATATTTTAGATCTGAGTTATCCTTCCAAGACTGGAACATGTGGCTGCCAGAGGCCAGAGGGCACCGTTCCCGAAGAGGGGAAAGGAAAGGGAGAAGTGTTGAAAGGGCAGAGAAGACAGCAGGGCGGGGACAAGGACAACCTAGCAGAATTCGAGACATCCTCAGGGCTGGCCTTAGCAGGCTGCTGTCCTCTGATGCTCAGGGTCAGTCCCTCCCAGGCTCTGGAAGCCCATTCTTGCCCTCTCAGGACCCCCGCTCCCAGCATGTTTCTGCAGCACCAGCAACACATTTCTGTATCTCCCGATCTCCCTGGGTGGCCCGTTCCACCCCACCAAAGTGGGCCTGCGCAGCAGATGCGTCCCTTACTCCACTAGGAGATGTGTGAGAGGCAGGGGCAGTCCCATTTCCTCATCCTCTAGACTCCAGGCATGGGACCCCGGGAACAGGACAGCAGGGCCCTGAACTCATCAACCACCTGCGAGCCTGGACATCTGGGTAGGGTGCCCAAATCCTGTTGCGGCCAGCTGGGCCAGGGCCCTCGCACAGAGAGCACCCGAGAAGTCAGCACAGCCCAGAGGAGAGGCCCAAGGGTGGCTGGTGAGCACCCAGAGAGGGACGAGGGATGGCTGCCCTCCCCTGAAAGGCAACGTTTTTAGTTTGTCGAGAAGAGACAGATGGGTGTGGGGGGCACTCAAGGGCTCTGCCTCCAGGGCTTTTGCAGAAGTGCTTCCTTCCCAGAGGGACCAGATAAAACTCAGCGGCTCTTAGGACTGAGCTTCCCTCAATGAGCCTCCTCCTAAGAAGCTAGCTGTTGGGCCAGTTAGCCACCACCCCAGGCAGACTTCCCACATGGGGCAGAGTTTCTGAGCAGGCCATCACAGGGAAGAGGCCAGCCCCCTCCTGTTGGCTGTGTGATTGCCTTCCGATCTCTGGTCTAATCACTGGGAGCAGGTTGAGGAGGTGATTTGGCAAATCACCTGGCACCAGCCATAACAGCTTTATTTGGGGCCTTTCCTCTAAGGAGCTCCGAGAGAGGCAGGTACCAGAGCTCCTCAGGCTGACACATGGCTACCAGGCTCTCAAGGCTGGATTTCTTGATTCATTCAGTAAACATGTATTGAGTGCTTGCTGTGTACCAGGCCTTGATAATGCAGGGGATATAGAGTCCCAACCCTTGTGGAGCCTTAAAAGTTGCCCATGATTACAATCAAATTGGGGAGAACAGGGTGCTTCGGGAGTTTCTGGGGGCCCTTACTCAGTGCTGGGGGTTGGAGGAGATCACCTTAGAATCGACACCTGAGACAATGGCCAAAGGATGTCATTTAAGCAAGAGGGGGCAGGGAAGAGCCTTCCAGGTAGAGAGGATGGCCTTGCAAAAGTGATGGTCCTTCCCAGAAAAGGCTCCCAGAGCAGGTGCTGGAGAGAGAGGGGCCTTGCTGGCCCGGTGTGTTTATACCTGTCTCCAGTCCAGCCAGAATTTTTCTGGGCCTCCAACTCGAGCAGGAAACCCAGTGGGAAAGAGTTATTTCCTGCCCTCAGAGAGAAGAAGAAAACAAAAACCCCAGCAATTTCTGCCTAACTCCAGAATGTCAAAGTTGACTCATGCTGGTTGGGTCAACTTTGACATTCTGGAGTTAGGCTGATGAGAGACTTTTCTCTTTCAAAAACAGTGCTTACTGCTTTTCTATTTAGAAAGGTAACACATGCCCTATGTAGCAAAGTGTACAGAGGAAGGTGAAATCACATAGAATCTTGATGCAGAGATAACCAATAAAACACTTCGTTTTTCCTTCGAGTCTTTTTTTTTTAAAAAACATGCGCTTTTACATTTGTTACATAGCTTCACAAGCTGTGGCACAACTGTACATGCGGTTTGTTACCTGTCCTGTTCCCTTAATGTCTGTTCTAATGTTATTAAAAATTTCTTCTTCTTTCTTCTCCTTCTCCTTCTTTTTCCTCTTCCTCCTCCTCCTCTTCTTTCCCTTCTTCCCCTCCTTCTTCTTTTTTGAGACAGAGTCTCGCTCTGTGGCCCAGGCTGGAGTGTACCGGCATGATCTTGGCTCACTGCAATCTCTGCCTCCCGGAGTTCAAGAGATTCTCCTGCCTCAGCCTTCTGAGTAGCTGGGATTACAGGCACATGCCACCGTGCCTGGCTAATTTTTGTATTTTAGTAGAGACAGGGTTTTACCATGTTGGTCAGGCTGGTCTCAAAGCCCTGACCTTGTGATCTGCCTGCCTTGGCCTCTGAAAGTGCTGGGCTTACAGGTGTGAGCCACTGCGCCCGGCCAAATTCTTCCTTTTAAGGGCTGCACAGTATGCTGCCATATGGCTGTATCATAGTTTACTGAAGTGCCCTCCTGGGCACTCTTCTCCCATGTGACTTTTCCTGGCCTTTTCCTAGGGTTTCCCCTCAGCCCACAAGACCCCAGGCCTCAGCAGCCCCTGGAACAGCAGCGCCAGAGCCAGCCAGGCTATGGAGTTACCTGGGGGGCCTGGGGAACGCTCACAGTCTTTGAATAAGAATCGAAGATGTGGGGCTGAAAGTCTGCATTTTCAAAAATCTCCTCGGATGCTATGAAGCCACTCCAGGGGCAGGATTTGGAAGATGCCGTTTCAAAGTCTCCTGGGCTGCATAGCACCTGCATAGCCACATGGAGTTGAAATCGCTTATTTTAAATTAGACAAATCATATCTATTTTGCAGAATTGTTGGGGAAAACAGAGGTATGGCTTGTGAAGCTCAGGGTCTGTCATATCTTACATGCTCAAAAACATTGTAACTGCAGTTGTTACCATTCCAAGCAGAAGCTTTTGCGCTGTGTCCCGCTCGGATGGACACTGTCGGTTCCTATACCCATCCCGGAGGGGCTTTCCTGCCTTAGGACCCAGTTCTCCTCATTCTCTTTTGCATCAAATACAGAATCTGTGCTTACCTTTTCACAAACACACCTACTGTAGGGCAGTCAATAGAAAAAAACATCAAGCTGGGTGTGGTGGCTCATGCTCGTGTAATGCCAGCACTTTGGGAGGCTGAGGTGGGAGGATTGCTTGAGGTCAGGAGTTCAAGACCAGCCTGGGCAACATAGTGAGACCCCATCTCTACGAATAATAAAAGTAAAAAAAATTAGCTATTGTGGTGGCTCAAGCCTGTAGTCCTAACTACTAGGGAGGTTGAGGCCAGAGGATTGCTTGAGCCCAGGACTTGGAGGCTGTAGTATGAGCTATGATCATGCCATTGCATTCCAGCCCAAGCAACAGATAGACTCTGTCTCAAAAAAAAGAAAAAAATCATAACGTGTTGCCCATGAGTCAGAATATGTATAATTGGGACTGTTCCATATGGCATATGGTGTTAAATGACCAGGAAGGACCTGCGATGGGGGAAGAGGTTCTAAACAGATGGTGAGGGACTATTGGAACCCCTCTTCTTATCTAATCAAGGAGGTAAAACTTCAGGAAGAAAAAGAGGGAAATTAACCTTTATGAAAGTGTCAGCTCCAAGTGGAGTGTGGTTGTTGTGCTACCAACCAGTGGTACAAACTGTTATTGGTTGCTGATGAGCTAAACACAGACATTGAGAGTAAGCACACAGAACAATTTTACAGCAATTTGACATTGACATTACCACAGTACCCAAGCGTGTGATCATTTTTTTTTGGAAATTTTTATTGCATTTTACGAAAGCACTGATCTATGACTGATTATATATTTTAAACAGGGATTCTTCACCACGGAGAGCTTGAAAGGCACTGGTTTAGAGACTGGTATTATGAGATCTCGCACCACCTCTGCAGGGTCTTGAATTAGGGGCTCCATCACTTCTCCTCTGTTCCCTCTCCGGAAGACAGTACATTCCCATGCTTGCTTGCCAGGCTTCGGCCAGAGGAAGGCAGTCCTGCTTCCAGGTCCCCCATCCCACACCAACCACAAGGCAGGGGTCAAGACTCCCCAGGAAGAACCCGGGCAGAGTTTGGAGGATCTAGGTTTTCCCAGGAGGACAGGGGTGTGAGACCCTCAGGACAGACCAATGTGGGGGACTGGCATCTTCCTGAGGCCTCAAGGGAAGGAGATTCCCCGATGACTTCTGCCCTTTGTTTTATACTCACCCCTCCTCATCAGGGAGCTTCTCTTGTGTCTGATCTCAGTTCTCACTGCCGGAGCTGAAGTCCTTGCCTAATAGTCCAGCCCCTGCTCCACGCTGAGGCTGGTGCTAACTGCTCTGGGGACACATGCAATGGAGATATTTTTGTTAAGCACTTACTCTGATTAACTCATTTACTTTTCCCGATGATCTCATGAGATAGGCCCTATTTTTATCTTCATTGCACAGGAGAATCTCAAGGAGGCTGGTGGTAAGGGACTGGCTTAAAATCACACAGCTAATATGTAGGTAGACCTCCAGCCTGCCCTACTCCAGGACCCGAGCCCTGAACCACTGACCGATGCTGTGGACCTGCCTTCGAGGATCTTACAGTCTAGCTGGGTCTGTGAGAGCCTTGAAGAATCCCAGAAGAGGCAGGTAGCCCTGAGTGTGTGGCCCAGGAACCTAGAGGAAGGAGGGACACTGGGGAGGAGGCAGCCAGCCCCAGGCCTTGCTCCTGGCTCTCCATGCTCCCCCGGGAGGATGCTCATATCCTGTGTTTCTGCCTCCTTCCTCCCCAGATGTGATCTCACTCCTCCTCTCCCGAGAGGCCCTAGGAAAGTGGCTATTGTTTCCTCCCACACAGAGAGCTTGGGGACCCATGAGACCCCTCTCACTCTGTCAGGGCAGCTCATATTCCCGGCAGTGACAGGGTTGGGTCGTGCCCCTCAGCCTCCCAACGACACCGTTTGTGTTTTTCCTTCGAGAATGGTCTGCATTAGGAATCTGGAGGAAAGACCCTTGTTGGAGTCCTTCCTCTTTCCCATTCTCCTGTTTTCCTACCCCCTGCGTCTGGTATTCCCTGCTTTTTGGATGGGGCGGAACAGGGTAGAGCAAGTGATATCAGGAGAGCCCAGCCAGTGTCCCGCTGTCCTAAGCTCTCAGTGCAGCGTCACTGAACCTCTCAATGTGCTCATCCAGCAAAGCAGCGTTTGAGGATCCAGTAGGAAATGGCTGTGGAAGCTCCGCTAGCTCTAAGGGGCTCTGCCTGGTTTGGCTTCCCTCTCATTCCAGACTTACTCAATTCTTGCAGCTTCCAAAGCTTGGCTCAAGTCCACTGCCTCCAGGAAGCTCACTCTGACTACACAAGTCTGGATCCAGTCCTCAGCCTGGAGGGATTCTTGTTCACACTAGTGATACGAGGCTGTGTTCCATCAGCCCTCGAGAGCTGTGGGGACACCAGGCAACCCTATCGTGACCACGGGTTGGAATTCGCCATGCTGCTCCGCAGCACCAGGCCCCACACAAGCTCAGGCTTGCTCTGCTCAGACCTTCTCTGCTTTAGGACTTGGTGGTTTTCCATGTTTTTCACCTGGGATCACCAGCTCTGGGGGAATCTCTGAACGCCCGGGGAGACGGTTTTAGAAGAGATCTTTGTTATTCCCACCACACTGGTGAGGAAACTATGAGAGGACCTGGGCGAGGTCACGAAACTGGTTTAATGGATTGCTGAGTCAGGACTCAACCTGGGTTCTGATGCTCTCAATACACCCCAGGCTGCCACCTTTGCCCAGGGCCTGAAGAAAGCCATGCACAACGCAAGTGCGTGCACCTGGGGCTCATTACACCTCTCAGTGGGCTTTTGCCTGGTCTTGGCTTCATCAACGTCTCCTCCTGGCATTCTCAACCTCTCCCAGAACCCTCCCACAGCCCCACAGGGAGCCAGGCGGAGACAGCGGTGGCCGGAACAGACCCTACACCCTACATACATGGGGATCCCAGGCCACAGCGGGTGGGGCTTTGCTCTTGGCAGGACAAACAGTCCTGGTTCCGAAAGGCCCCAGAGGCCAGGACAGAGTTTTAAATAGCCAGTGACAGGCCAATTGTGAGGCCCGGTTTAAATTAGTTGTCAGGGCTCCATTGAATCAGGTTTAATTGTTGGTTGGTGCTGAAATGATGAATGAGATGTGGCTTTAAATAGGAAGCCTAAGTGTTTCAACCTCACCCTCGGCTGGAACTGCAGGCATGATCTGGTGTCCTCTTATTCAAAGAGTTCCCTAGAGGAGAGGAGGCAAGAGGATGGGTGGACTGAGTGCAGTGGACTGCTGCATCTGTTTCTAGGTGGTCTAGTGTTCCAGGACAGACACAAGGATCACCTGTTGGAGGCTCAGGGAAATAAGGTCTCGATCATTCAATCAGCCAGTCCTTCTTCAGCCCATCTGTCCACTATTTTCCTTGCCATCCTTTGACCAAGGATGCTTATTCCCATCTGTGCCTTTGCAGGGGTCCCAGACCAATCTTCCGAGAGTTGACAGAGGAAGTGGGGGGAAAAGGCAGACAGGAAAAGTCCGCCATACTTGGGAGTTCCTGCATTTGGACCTCACTCTGTCCCTCAACTGCTTGGCTTTGAGAAGTCACATGAGCTCGCTGAGCCTCAGTTTCTACATCTGTGAACTAAGACAAAGCTTGCCCTACCTCCCTCCTCCAAGGAGCTGTTGAGGGATCAAGAGGGCTAAGGCGGGGAAAGAGCTCTAAAAACTGTCATCGTGCCATTACTGATGATCAGCAATCAGTGCCTCCTCTGCCTGGCCCTGGCCCAAACTGGGGTGAAGGGAGGGTGGAGTGTGAATGGGGAGAGGGAGCCTCCAGTGTGCCTCCTGCTGTCCGCTACTGACCCCCAGCAGGTCACTGCCAACTCAGTGGTGGTTTGGTACCTTCTCCAGGGTTGCTGGACAGTTCGAGTTCTCTGGGCCAGGGCGGGGTTCCCCACCCACCTCTCTCATCTGGGGCCTGCCTGGTAGGTTCCCCCGGCTGCATTTTCCACCTCCAGCTTCCTCTAACCCTTACCTGGAGCCAAGTGGGGCAGTCAGAAGAGAGGGCAAGAGAAGCCCCACAGAGCCAGGTTGTAACCGCCAGTCTTCTTAGTAGAGGAAGCTGGAGGGCTGATTTCTGCGTTTGCCTCTCAAAGCTGGAAGAATGGCAGCAGGTGGGAACCAAGGATCAGCCACTGGCGAGGGAAAGCTTGGCGGCTCCGGGAAGGCACTGGAAGCCTCCACAATGGTGTTTCTGGGGCTCAGGGCTGCAGCAGCTGCTGTTAGTAACACCCTCCTGAGAGGGCCCCTGGAGGGGCCCTCACACCCATGTCAGCCGGCTCCTGCACCCCTGGCCACACCAGGCTCAGCAGAGTCCTCTCCATTAAGCAAGGCAACTGTCCTAAAATGTCACATTCCTCAGGATGTCACTCCTAGAGGTGGTTAGCAGCTCCCCGTGGCCTATGAGGTGGCACCCAAGCCCCTGAGCTCACCTGTGACAGTCCTCATGGCCAGCTCCACCTGTGGCTTTCCCCTCTCCCCTTGTACTTTCAGCAGCACAGGGGTGCACCAAGCAGACACAGGATTCCACACTGGAGTCCAACTCACACGTCGTGTTTTTGGTTTTTGAGACAGGGTCTTGCTCTGTTGCAGGCTTGCCCGTCTTGTCTCTGCTCCCTCCCTAGCTGTCATCTGGCCCCAGCCTCCTCATCTGCTGGCATGAGGAATATTTACCTGCCCCAGAGCAGGGCCATGAGGGGTTGGGAGGAGTTGGGAGATGGCCCTGGGACAGCAGCACAAGGAGCTTAGGTAGGGCGTGTTCAATCTCCTTCCTTACCTTGCAGGCTTGGTGGGATTGTCTGCGGAAAGAATCTACGGGAGGAAACGTGCTGCTGAAAACTTTTAAGAACTACACAAATTCTGGCCTCAGGAACCCCCTTCTCCTGGATTTCAAGCAAATGGGTCTGTGCACTCCAATAGGGCCTCCCAGGTAACGGGTGGGCCACATTCTTCCCACCCCCAATACCCTCTGATTCCCACCCATTTCTCTCCCCGCCTCCAGGTCAGTGGCCCTGGGTTCCCTGTGGACACTAGCCGTCCTCTCTGCACTTCACACCTTCTCTGTTCTCTGTCTTTGAGATGCATGCCATTTCATCTTCTACCCTCAACTGTCTTTCAACTTTTACCACCTCCAGGAAAGTAAGATTTAAATCACCCTTGTTATATTGTAAAGGGTGAGAAGACTCCAGCTGACCCTTGGATGCATGCGGAAAAAAGAGACCAAATACTATTTTTTTTTTTTTTTTTTTTTTTTTTTGGAGACAGAGTCTCACTCTGTTGCCTAGGCTGGAGTGCGGGGGTGTGATCTCAGCTCACTGCAACCTCCACCTCCCAGGTTCAATCAATCCACCCACCTCTGCCTCCTGAGTAGCTGGGATTACAGGCATCCACCACCACACCCGGCTAATTTTTTTTTTTTTTTAATCTTTAATAGAGATGGAGTTTCACCATGTTGGCCAGGCAGATCTCGAACTCCTGACCTCAAGAGCCACTACGCTTGGCTGACTAAACACTTTTCTATTTCTATGTTTTTTTCTTTAGCTTAAAAAAGTTTGTTGGGGGTGGGGAGTGGGCTACAGAGGAGATGCTTTTGAAGAGAAAAACATCACAACTCTGAAAATTCTGGTGAATGACAGAAAGCTCAGGAAACAGGCTCCCGAGAAAGGTAGCCACGGTGCTAGAGTGCGCATGACCTGCTCTTGGCAGTTTCTGAGCCCTCTCTACCGGCATCACTGCATGCTCCTCCCGGATGTGTGAAGCTGCCATTATTGGAATGCCCACTTGCGTTGATGGGGGAAACAAAAGTAGGTATTATAATTCCCGCTCCATAGAAGAGGAGCCAAGGTTTGGAGAGGTTAAATACTACTGATGATAAAACAACAACTATAGCTACCATTGGCTGAGAGCTCATTACGTGCAGGCTCTGGGGGAAGTGCATGGGAGGCATCTTCTCATTGACTCCCTTAGCCATCTGGCAACGTAGACACAATTGCCCCCATTTGATGGAAACTCAAAGATGTTAAGAAATGAATCCACATTTAGGAAGTGGCAGGGCTGGGCTCTCGAGAGCACCCATTCCAATTCTAGGACAGGGATAGGGACAGCCAAGGGTCATCTGGGGCCATCTCCTCATCTCTGAAGAACAGACATGACCGAGGGCAGAGCTCTGGCTTTCTTTCCTTTACCTGGAGTTAGATTTAGGACTTATAGGACCCATAGATGAAAGTGACAGAGAGGCAGTTTTTAGTCCAGCCCCCAAAAACATTTTAGATGAGACTTTCCTTAGAAATAGGAGACACACAAGGGGTTCAAAATCTGGATGAAACTTCTACCTGGAGTGCTGTAGAAGAGACTCCTTCTGTGCCTGGGACAGACAGGGCTTGGTCTCAGAGCTGGAAGACCATATCCCAGCACTACCACCGACCTACTCACGTCATGACCTTGAGCCAACTACTTGAGCTCTCTGAGCCACAGTTTCCACATTTGTAAAAATGGGAAAGTAAGGCCTTTCCAGAAAGATGGTCGTGTGGATTTTTTTTTTTTTCTTTTTTTTTTTTTTTTTTTTTTTTTTGAGACGGAGTTTCGCTCGTTACCCAGGCTGGAGTGCAATGGCGCGATCTCGGCTCACCGCAACCTCTGCCTCCTGGGTTCAGGCAATTCTCCTGCCTCAGCCTCCTGAGTAACTGGGATTACAGGCACGCGCCACCATGCCCAGCTAATTTTTTGCACCTTTAGTAGAGACGGGGTTTCACCATGTTGACCAGGATGGTCTCGATCTCTTGACCTCGTGATCCACCCGCCTCAGCCTCCCAAAGTGCTGGGATTACAGGCTTGAGCCACCGCGCCCGGCTATGTCGTGTGGATTTTGAAATATGAGATAACAGGGGCGAAAGCACTCCTGGCTTGGCCCAGGTGGGCATCCAGTAAATACTGGCTCAATCTGAATCTAAGCCAGGCAGGGGGCTGGGATCAGAGGACAGTGACAGTCCCTTGCCACTCCAAGTGTCTATGACTTTCATCACCACACTGGCCATGGGCCCTGCTTATTGTATTTGCCACAGGTAGCCAAATACCCAAGTGAGGATGTGTCCACGGGGCCGAGAAGAGATCTGCTAAGAGTATTCAGTTTCACGGTGGCATACCATGTCCTTGGTTCAACTTCTTTTGGAGAGGAGTGTGGAGAGAGGAGGGGAAATCTTATGATCTGTCTGAAGTGGAAGGAAAGCTCTTATCTCATTTCCTTCTCAGAGCTACATGTGATGGTGTGACTCGGCGTGGACGTGCTGGGGAGATTAACGGGAACTGACAGAGGCCTGGGCCACGTTCTCTAGTCCTCTTCCCACACAGGCTTCCAGAGAAGGGGAACTGGGCCCTCTTTGCCGTGCCAAAATAAACTTACATTGTTTCCAGCTCCATGAGAGGCCTCGAGTGAAGCCTTTGCCAAACCCTAAAAGGAAGGAAGGCTGGGGGGTGAGGGGGCCCTGGATCGGGGGATGCACCCACCACCCCTCTTTCTCCTGACTTTGCGAAAACTCCATGTGGGCAAGCTCTAAAGCAAATCTCAGATAGCACTATGAAAATCTGGGCTTTTAGAGGAGAAAGAAAGAACTGGAACTCCCATTTGCTGAGGATCTACTATGTGGTGGGTACTTGGCTCGTTAAGAGTCATGTTGGTGGGCTGGAGGCACATGCAGACGTGGGTTCGAATTCTGATCCTAGCCCCATTTGCTAACCATATGACCTGGGCAGCAAAGAACTCTGAGCTTCCATTTCCTCGCAGGTAAAATGGGGCTGTTACGTAACAGCAGTGCTTTGGAGAGGTGCGGCGAGGGTTAAGTCAGGTCACGGATGTGAAGTTCTCAGCATAGTGCAGGGCATATAAAGGCACTCAATGTACGTGAGTTATTATTGCTGTTATACAGCTGCTACTACTGATAACATTTTAAAACTCATGAAAATGCTGAGAGGTAGGTATTGTTCAATAAACATGACAGATATGGGCAATATGGGCTCAAGAGAGGCTGAGGAACTTTTCAGGGTCTGACGGTTCATGAGCCGGAGGCTCAGGATCAAACTCAGGTCTGCCCGGAGTGCGGGCCCGTATGTGTTGCACCTGCATCTGAAATGAGGGCTGACTGGGTTTTCTGATACAGATGCCAAGTTGCTCTGAGGCTGGAAAGCTGGAAAACGGCAAAAACAAAGATCACGGGCATCACTTTCACGGCCCAACTGCTCCCAGACTTCATAGGCTCAGCTAGTATCCAGCCGGGCCTGGCTGACCACCAAAGCCTAGGGTTCTCCTTGCCGGGCCCCGGGCTCCTCTGTCTTTCAGCTTCCATCTGGAGCCAGCATCTGCAGCGTGGGCGCCGTCTGCACCACTGGACCCCAGGCCCAGCACAGTTGGCTTCCTGCTCCTGCAAGGACAGCTTGTGGGAGCTGAGCCAAAGCAGCCTGGGATTGAAACCCTAGCTCTGTCCCTCACTAGCTGGGTGATGCTGGGCATGTTACTTGCTCTCTCTGAGCCTCAGTTTTCTCACCTGTAACTCTGGAGCAACAGTACCTAGTGAGAGTTACAGGAGACGATGACAATGGCAAGTGTCTGAAGGTGTTAGCTCTCCCTCCTCCCATTCCCTGCCTCTGGAAATGGGTGCTCCTGGCTCTCCTGCTCACTCAGGATCATAAGGCTGTGGAGCCCCAGGCCAGGACCTATTTTTCATCCTGATATGTGCTCTCTGCATGTCATCCGTAATGAAAAACGAATAACTCATGTGTTCATTTCATTAAATGCTGCCCCCACAAAAGTGTGGGCTTGTGCAATTCTCCAAAGACTGTCAGCTGGAAGATATCTCAGAATTCCTCGTAAATCAAAAGGTTTCATTTTGCTGCCAAGACAGTCAACTCTCTTTGCCTGAATAAGGCGGTGGGCGGTGCTGGGCTGGGATGGAGCCGGAGACTTGCCTGCTTGTCCGGGCTCTGCCAATTACCCACACAGGAAGGGAGCAGACTGCCTGTGACTCCGGCAGAGGAATGGGTGGGGTGGGGTGCTGGATCCTACAGGGTCCTTCCTTCTCCTCCTCCGGTTCTAAAATTCTAGACTTTGAGCTTCCCTTCTCCCTCTGCCTCTCCCAGCCCCCTCCCACTATCCTCCTCCCGCTCTGCTCCACCATCCTGGCATCTCCAGTCAATCAGGTCAAATCAGCTTAGGGCAGATTCTGCAGAGAAAAAAGCATCTATGCCTTCCTGGTAGAGGATGATCTTCTAATGGCCCTTAGCACCAAAGCTGCCCTCCTTAGGAGTGAAAAGAAGGGCAGCCAAAGTCTGTGTTTCTATTGTGGGGTCCAGGAAGAGCGGGGCATTTGCTCATGGAGCTAAGGATGGATAAATTCAGAAGTAAAAAGAGGGTTCCCCTCCTGCCTCCAGCTTTGGAAGGGGCTCCCAAGCCAGCCCAAAGGGGCTTCGTGGTCTAGTGGAGCAGGTTCTGGACCACCCAGAGGGGTATGCACTTTGTGGGTGGCAATGGGAGTGCACAGGGTGAAGGTCCCAGAGGAAATTGGGCCTCCTAAAAAACACAGTCAGAGCTGGTCTCTTGGGGAGGGGAGATGAAGGTTGCAGAGATGTTCAATGTCTTTAAC